AGCCACAGGCATCTGATAAATTTAGTAAGAATCTTTAGTACAGTTTTCAGCCAGGACCTGGACCAGAGGCAGGCTACAGCCTTGGGCTTCTGCTTGCTTCCCCTCCATACAAAGCTGCTCACCACAACCCCATTCACCTCCTCTCATATTCTCACTCCCCACAAAGCAGAGTCTGTGCTGTCCTCTTGTGAATGACCATATGCCTGTTTCAGGACTCCCCACAAATAAATGTAAACCTCCATGCAGGAATTAAGCTATTCTAAACGTAACTGTGTGCCCCCTCATCTTTAACACTAAGCCATTGACTATGGAACCCAAGGAATTGGAAATTTCCTTGGAACCTCACAATGGGAGAGGAAAGGCTAAGGAAACCTAGCTCCAACCAGAAGAAGAAGTGGACTTCATTTATGAAAATGTGTCAGACTGCCACATAGGAAAAACAAGAATCCACTGGTTATGGCCATGATTGCTTAAGGCCCACATTGAATAAATACCTCTGGCCCCCTTTTTAAACCTAAACATCATGTTAGGACCTGAAAGGTGGACTTGGGGTGGAATTGGTCTATGAAGGTCAGATGTAAAACTTAGACTGACTGATACAGCTTTCAGGGCCTGGGTTCTCACCTACTGATGACTCCAGGAACAAGAGAAGCCTTGGGCTGTCAGGGTCTCCTTGCCCTACTATGTAAATAGGGCCATACTTTCGCATTCAAGCATCACACTAGACTCATTTCTGACTGTTTGCAGGAGCTGTTTGAATCAATGTGAACTGAAGAACAAAACACATTGTCGTCACCCCAAGAAACTCCAGAGTAAGCAACAGAGGATGCAGAGTAAATCTGTGAGGCATTTGTGTGGGTTGAGAAAGAAAATCCAGTAAATCTCTGCTGATTCAAATTAGAGGGGGAGACACCGAGAACAATCAGCCAACATCTTTGTTTCCTGACTGATTACAACTTGGACATATAAGAATGTGGTTTAAAGAGAGAGATAATTGCCATCATTTTACACATGCCCCAGGTTCTTTCCCATCCTCTCATCATTTTTATCTAGGATTTTATGCTGCTCAACAGAATGAAAATCCTCTTTCCTTGAACTCCACCCAAGAACTCACAAGTGCATTACAGTTTCTTTAACATCACAGAGCTCCCCTGCCAATAAGATATCCATTAGTTCCTCATTGTTGGAGACTTCAGTGTCCCAATCGCTTAGCAATAATCCTGACGGCATGTCCATTCTCTTCTCCAATTCCATGTTTCCTGCCTCCCTTTCACTATGATGTAAATACCCTACTTGGAAGAAGCTCCGAAAAAGTAAGTATGTAGATGAAAGTTTCTGTCCTGCCCCATCCTGCAGCTGTTCAGTCCCAAATAAACACACAGAGGCTTATTTCTCAGGTTTATTACTAACAAACTCTTACAACTTAGATTAAACCTTAATTCTTATCTATGTTTAAGCCCGTGGCTTATGACATTCTCATCTTGCTTCCTCTGCATCTGGCTGGTGACTGTGTCTCTGCCTTTCCTCTTCCCAGGTAGCCCCACCTATCCTGCCCTGGCTACTGGCCAATCAGCATTTTATTAAACCAATACAAATAACAAATCTTTACATTGAACAAGAGCATTATTCCACATCATAAGTGTGACTGGGGTGCATTATGTGGATTTCCCAAATAATCAATAAAAATGTTATGTTGGAAAAAAAGAAAAAGGAAAGCAAGAGCAAAAAGAAGGAAGACAGTGAGGACAGAAAATGATCATCTCATTTACATCATTTATAATAAAAATGGCTGGGTGTGGTGGGGATATGCTATTAGTTCCAGCACTTAGAAGGCAGAAGCAGGTAGATCTATATGATCCCAAGGTCAACATGATTTATGTAGTAGTACTTTATCTCAAAACAAACAAACAAAAAACCCTCTTCACTTGACTTTCAAATGTATATCATCCTGTCTATATCTCAAGAATCAGAAGAGCATGCTGTATTGAGACTTTCCTCACTCAATTGCAAGGAATACTGGTTTATTGAATTAGCTCACTTTAGATTTTTCTTTCTAGTTAGTGAAGTCATTCTTGACTGAGATGAAGTTTTTATGCATTTCACTAGCAAACCTTTTTTTTTTTTTAAGAGTTCCTAGGAAAAACATTTGTCTGTAAAGGCTGTTTGGCTGACAAAAACTTTATTGATAGGGAGAGGTTAGAATGCTGGGGATCCAGAGCCTGAGTACAATTTATATTGGGCTAGATTTAGCCCCCAATTATCATTCCTTCTCTTCCCTACCCCATGTTAATCTCACATCTCATTACTAAGAGATAAAGCCAGATAAAACATCTTGCCATGCTGATAAAAAGCCCTTAAAATGTATTAATTTAACAAACCATAGTCTTACCAATCAAGGTGCTAAAAATGTTCTTTTCCAGGCACACATTTCTTTATCCAACTCATCAGCTTGCTGTGATGTGATGACCCTGTCCCCATTGCGACACTCATCACTGAATTTCTCTGCATCCCTACCTTTGTCATCAAGGAGGGCAGTTTTAGCTCACACTCTTCCTTTCAAAGATTTGGTGAGTTTAATCTCTAACAAAACAAACTATTTTACAAACTATTATAGTTGGTCTTCATTGCCAGTTTGACTGTATTAAGAGATGTCTAGGGCTGTGTTTGTTGGTGGTGACTCCAGACAGGTCTGATTAGCAGGACAGTGACTATATGGTGGAGGGACGCCCATTCTGAATCTGGGTAGCACCTTCCAGTGAGCTGGTAGCCTGGATGAAAACAAATCTTGGAGAGCAGTAGAATGAATAAGCCCCTTCCTTTTCTGATGTCTACATGGGCCTGCCATCACCTACTGGCATTAAACTGCAGCTTCCTAAGCCTTTAAACACAGGTTCTTGTGTCCAGGCCTTCAGAAAAGTCCCATCATAATCATCAAAGACCTGAAGAAAACTGCAAATCATGAATTTTTTTTAAAGATGTAAAATAGCATAGTATAAGCTGGGCATGGCAACACAGGCCTGTAATCCTAAGATGTTTGAGAGGTTGAGACTGGAGGATTGTATGTTTAAGGCCTGCCTGACCTACAGAGTAAATTCAAGGTTATCCTGGTCAACTTTGTGAGACCATTTCTCAAAATAAAGTAAAATGAAAGTTGAGAGATGAGAATCAACGTTTTCATTGTACACATTCTTCTTCCCTGGCAGGCTCTTTGCTATTCTTGGCATGGTATTTCTTAAATAACACTTCTTGTTTTGAAAGATCCTGCTGTTTTAATGCAATGCAAAACACCATTAGTAGTCATTTTCCTAGGGGGGAGAAAGCACACTGACTTCAACAGGAACGAAAAGAAAAAGTTACAGAAAGAGGATGTATGGATGCTTGGGGCTGTGGGATAGAAAGTTATATGGTGGTTTTCACTCTTTTCTGAGCCTAGCCAAGAACCTACCTAGAATTAGTAGATTGACTGGGTAAGAAGAGAAACATGATGTTTGAATGTGTATCAAAAGGAATGCAGAAGTTACCCTAAAAAGATTGACATTAATGCTAGAAGGCCCAGGAGATATTAAAGACTGTGAACCTCCCTCTGATGAGTGGAGCTGTGAGTTTTTTCTCCAGCATTGTTCAGCAGTGTAGGCACTAGGAAGAAATCATGTAATTTCATTGACCCAAGCTTTAAGGTTTTAAAAATTGGTATGAAGCTATTTAAAAGAGATTAAGAACTTGAAAACAATAATGAAAATGACTGAGACGATTGACATACGTCTTAGGTTGAAGAGAGAAATAAGTTGTAACAGTTTTAATGCCCATCAACCTCTTAACTTGTTCAAATCTGTATCATATTAAACAATGAAAAGTCAAGGACTTTGAGTGGGACATAGCGGTACACTTCTGTAATCCTGGCTGTTAAGTGGCAGAGTTAGCCAGGAAGTTGGATTCCACAGGAACTTGGAGACTACCCCAGTCTATCCAACAAATCACCATCTCAAAAGAAAAGATGAAAAAAGAAGGGAAAGAAAGAGAAGAATATTTTGTGGAATTCACAAGAA